TTTCTTTTTCTTCTTTTTTTTTTTTTTGGTTTTTTTAAGACAGTCTCTCTGTGTAGCCCTGGCTGTCCTGGAACTCACTCTGTAGACCAGGTTGGCCTCGAACTCAGAAATCCACCTCCCTCTGCCTTCCAAGTGCTGGGATTAAAGGCATGTGCCACCACTGCCCGGCTATTGTTGTCTTAGTTTCTTACTTTCTCTCCTTAATTTTAACCCCTGGTGTTTTCTAGAATCAACTTTTCAAATACTTACACTCAAAAGTCTTTTCTCAAGATTTGTTTCTAAGCAAACTTAAACTAAGACATTAAGAAAAGCAGAGAAGTGTTAGAGAGATGGCTCAGAGGTTAAGAGCACTGACAGTTCTTCCAGAGGTCCTGAGTTCAATTCCCAGCAACCACAAGGTGGCTCACAACCATCTGTAATAGGATCTGACACCCTCTTCTGGTGTGTCTAAATATAGTTGCAGTATACTCACATAAATATAATAAATAAACCTTTAAAAAAATAAAAGCAGAGAAGTTATGACCACAGCTTCCTTATTCCTGACGCACAGTTACGTCATTTAAGTATGTGTGTCTTTTACAGACATTCAAGACATTCTTGTTTTCTCGTTTAGGGACTGCTAACTAAATGCCACACACAAGGCTGAGACCTTTTCAAGTGACTTTTTGTCTAAGACCCTTAGATATCTTTGGCCTGATTCCATGTAGTGGGGAAAAGCAGTGTCGGTAAGGGAGGTAGCGGAAGTTATCTCTCTTTCCAAGTAAGAAGCGCAGTCTTCTAGTGTCGAAAGGAACCACATCCTTTTCAAAGGAGCCAGTGCTCATTTCTTTCTTGTTTTGTCTTGATCTCCTTTACTAGCCGACGACTCTCTTGGACAACAGCGAATCCCCATTAAACACAACGTCTTTGAAATTTTAAAAAGCAAGGAGAGCCAGCTATGTGATGTCCTCCAGAGTAAGTTTGGCTGTGTCTCTACCCTGAGCTGTCCGACTCTAGCAGAAAGCAGCTCTCCTGCTCAGAGGGTCTTCAGAAGGACACTGACCCCTGGGATAGAGTTATCTGTCTGGAAGGATGACCTCACCAGACATGTTGTTGATGCTGTGGTGAACGCAGCCAATGAAGACCTTTTGCATGGAGGTGGTCTGGCCGGAAGCTTAGTGAAAGCTGGTGGCTTTGAAATCCAAGAAGAAAGCAAAAGATTGATTGCCACCTATGGTAAAGTTCCGGTTGGTGGAATCGCTGTCACCGGAGCGGGAAGGCTTCCTTGCCATTTGATTATCCACGCGGTTGGACCTCGGTGGACAGAAGTGAACAGCCAGACAGCTGTCGAATTACTGAAACTTGCCATTAGGAACATTCTAAACTACGTTACCAAAGTTGACATTCAGACAGTAGCAATTCCAGCCCTGAGCTCTGGAATTTTCCAGTTTCCTCTGGATTTGTGTACATGTATAATTTTAGAAACTATCTGGCTTTATTTCCAAGACGAGCAAATGAGCAGTAGTTTGAGAGAGATTCATCTGGTGAGCAATGAGGACCCCACTGTTGAGTCCTTTAAATCTGCCTCAGAAAGCATCCTAGGAAAGGAGCTGAGCTCTTGGGAGAGTCCAGAAACTAACCCTTCTTCCAGTGTGACTCTTCACATAGGCCAGGGCCTCACTCTCCAGATTGTCCAAGGCCGCATTGAACTGCAAACAGTAAGTTTTTGTTTTTATTCCTTGGCACTGACGGAGGGGAGCCCTGGAATTACTGGATAATTACTAAGATGCTTAAAGTGGAAGAGTGTTAGATGCATCTTTCGGGGATTAGAGAGTGTGAACGTCGGGGCTAGGCCATCTGGATTAGAGACCAGCTTCATTAATCCTAACTCGATGGCTTTCGTTCAGCCTCCAGTCCTTCCTTTAAAACACGTAACAACAGCATTTAAACATCTAAAAGCTGAATCATTATCCAAGAGACGGTTACCGTAGTGTGTGGTACATTGTCTTATGGGAGTTAAAATGGTTAGGCTCTGATTCCTTGGAACCAGAAGCAATTGGAATACTCTTTGATCCCAGAGAACTTAAGCCAGCTCTTATTTCTTTGCTGTTTTTGAAACAGGCTTTGTTTTCTACTATGTCACCCAAGACTCGTGATCCTCCTGCCTCAGCCTCCAGCACTAGATTTTTGTTTTTACTTTTTTGAGGCAAGGTCTCTATAGAGCTTTGGCTAACCTGGAACTTGGTATATATAGATCAAGCTGGTCTTGAACTCACAGAGTTCTACTTGCCTCTTCTGCTCCCAAGCTGGGATTAAAGGCTACCACCAAAAGGACTGAATGAATGAATGCATGAATGCATGAATTTAGTATGTGTGTGCATAAGCATGTGTATGTGTATATGTGTGTATGTATGGAAGTGTGTATATATGTGTGTGAGTATGTATATGTATCTATATGTGTGTGTTGGTAGGTGTATACTTGTGGGTCTATGCATGCTTGGAGGTGGGGGTGGGGTTAGCACACCTGTGCACAGGTATGGAGGGGCCAGGGGTTAACCTTGGTTGTCTTCCTAAAGTACTGTCCACCCTTCTTTTTTTTTGAGAAAGAGTTTCTCATTGGTCTGGAACTTGTCAGGTGGGCTGTGCCTAATTGGCCAGCCAGCCTTAGGGAACTTGTTGTGTTGGCCTCCTCTGGCTTGGCTGGGGTCATGAGTGCTTGTCACCACATCTGGCTTTTTTCACATGATTTCTGGCAAGTACTTTAAAGTACTTTACTAGCTGAGTTACTTATTTCTCTAGTTCTTTCCTATTTTTAATCTTTAAAAAAAAACACTTTATTTGGCAATATCTCATTGGGGAAACAAATCATTCAGCATTGCTGAAGCAATCTATCAATAATAGTAAACAAAAGCAGTACTTAGGAATACGGCTGGGCATGGTAGCTCGCCCTTGTAATCACAGTAGTTTGAGGTGGACGCCCAGGGATCAGGGATACAAGGTCATTCCCAGCTCCTTGAATTTGAGGAAACCACCTCTGGCTATATGAAACCCTGTTTCAAAAATCTGAAAACAAAACGAAACCCAAGAGTATATACATTTGTGATTAGAGTAGCATATTCACAGAGGTAGTGAATGGTGACAGGGCAGAGAAGAAAGCCCTACTGACGCCCCTCTAAAAGCACCCATGGCGCCAGGCATTGGTGGCACACGCCTTTAATCCCAGCACTTGGGAGGCAGAGGCAGGCAGATTTCTGAGTTCAAGGCCAGTCTGGTCTACAGACTGAGTTCCAGGACAGCCAGGACTACACAGAGAAACCCGGTCTCAGAAACAAACAAACAAACAAACAAACAAACAAAAAAAGCACTCACGGGCTGGTATGCTTGGTGGCAGAATGCTTGTTTAAGTGTGGGTTTGATTCCCTGCCCTGAGGGAAGCAGGCTGATCTCAGGTTGTGGGAGGTGTGAACTAGCAGGAGGAACAAGCTTTCAGGGAGGCTTGAGTGACTTGGTCAGAGAGACAGAATCCACAGACAAGAAATGGTGAGATTAGCTAGACCCACTGAAGTTTAAAGTAATCATTTTATTTATTTACCTATTTACTTTTGGAATCATTGGTGTGTCCTGTGACCACAATCAAATTAGAATTAACTGTCAGTGAGAGTAGCACTTTCAGCCTACGAGGAAGGCTGAGGAGACTCCATGAAATGAACTGTCTGAGGAGTTGTTAGTGTGGTGTTTAACATTAAAGCAGAAGCGTTACTGAATAACATCCTTTTACCAGATTTTATTGTCTTCATTTGTCGTCAGCAGCATGAGGAACCTTACATCTTCGGAAGGGTGCCAGTGCCCCCCAATGGCAAATTCAGATTGCTCTTTCAGGGTAAACCATTAATATCCATGATAAATGGAGTACTTTGGCAAATGCCTAGAAGCCAACACCCCAGAGACAGAGGTAGATGACGCATTTATAAAAAGATAAAGAGATAAAGAAAGTATATTCTGTAGGTGTGTGGAGAGGTATGGGGGAAGGGGATGTCTCAGCGGGCCGGTGCAGAGGCATCCCTTCCCCCTGAGGGACCAGCCACACACTGGTATAGTATAGAATAGAGTTTATTCAGGTCATGGGGAGGGGAGTTAAGAGGGTAGTAGAGGCAGAGAGAGGTAGAGAGAGAGGGTAAGAGTAGAAAAGTAGAGGCTGGCTATGAACATGTGGAGAGAGGGGAAGGGAAGGGAGAAGGAGTGAGGGGACAGAGGGATCAAGAGATCAAGAAAGCAAGAGCAAGAGAGAGAGAGAGAGGAGGGGGCAAGCAGCCCCTTTTATAATAGGCCAGGCCTACCTGGCTGTTGCCAAGTAACTGTGGGGGTGGAGTTTAGACAGAATGCTAACAGAAGACTTGATCTAAATTTGAGGCCAGCCTGGTCTACAAATCAAGTTGTAAGCCAGCCAAGACGACATAGTGACTGACACCCTGTAACAAAACAAACAAAATCCATATACGTGCTTAAGTTTCCTTTGAAGGATGATAAGAATTTTGGTACTTGCTTTGTTAGGGTTTCCATTGCTATGAAGAGACACCATGACCAAGGCAACTCTTAAAAAGGCAAACACTTAATTGGGGCTGGCTTTCAGTTTTAGAGGTTCAGTCCATTATCATCATGGCAGGAAGCATGGCAGCATCCAGGCAGGCATGAGACTGGAGGAGCCTAAAGTTCTACATTTTTTTTTTTTTGAGACAAGGTTTCTCTGTGTAGTCCTGGCTGTCCTGGAACTCACTCTGTAGACCAGGCTGGCCTCGAACTCAGAAATCCGCCTGCCTCTGCCTCCCAAGTGCTAGGATCAAAGGCATGTGCCACCACTGCCCGGCTAAAGTTCTATATCTTGATCCAAAGGCAGTCTAGAGAAAACTGTCTTCCTGGCAGCTAAGAGGAAGGTCTCAAAGCTCAACCCAGTGACACACTTCCTTCAACAAGGCCACACCTCCTAACAGACCACCCCCTTTGGGACAAGAATATTCAAATCGCCACAATACTAAAGCTGCATGAATACAGCTCCCTTTAGCACTGCTCTCAGCGTTAAAGGATAAAGTAGTAAGAAATGTAATTGGTGCCTATGTGTACTGTTTCTCGAGATCAGTGGTTCTCAGTCTTCCTAAAGCTGTGGCCCTTTAATTCGGCTCCTCATGTTGTGGTGACTCCCCCCACCTTAAACTTACTTTTGTTGCTACTTCATAACTGTAATTTTGTTACTGTTATGGCTCATAATGTAAATATCTGTCTTAGGTGGCCCCTGAGAAAGGGTCATTTGACACCTCCAAAGGGGTCATGACCCGCTGGTTGAGAATAGCTGCTGAAGATAAACTGGTTAAGTGGCTGCTTGGAGAACAGTTGGATAAGTGTATCTGGTGACCCATAAAGAAAGAAAGCTCTGTTTCACTAAAGTCCTTTTGCCTTGTTTATACTTCCTTTAACTTTGTATATGAGGACATGAAGACATGAGATGTCTTCTGTTCCTAAAGTTCCTAAGATACTTCATTCTTTGTTACCACACAACTTACACAGAAACAGCAGGAAGTGACAGAGATAAGGCAGAGAATGAAAGCTGTATGGATGTGTCTCGAAAACAACCATGGGCTGGGGATTGGCTCAGTGGTAGAATGTTTGCTTGGCATGTGCAAGGTCCTGGGTTCAATTCTTAGCACTGAGGAAACAACATAATAGCTGGATGGGTAGACTCTGTATGCTGGCAATTTTAGCTCTGAAGAGATGGGTATGCCTCAAGGTAAATCTGGAATACAGAGCGAGAACCAGTTGCAAAAAAAAAAAAAAAAAAAAAAAAAGACAGGCATTCAAGTAAAAAGATAGAAGGGCTGGAGGATGCAATTCAGTGGGTAGAGAATACTTGCTTAGCAGTAGCAGGAAGCCTTGGGTTTAGTCCCTAGAACCCATAAACCTGTAATCCTAACGTGAGCAGGTAGAAGCAAGAGGATCAGGAATTTAAGGTCATCTTCAGCTATTTGGAATGTCTGGGGTCATTCAGGCTACAGGAGACACCGTCTCAAAATCAAAACAAACAAGGTGAGATATTGTTCCTAAAATAAAACAAAGGAAAGAACCAACCAACAAAAGAGGCTGGAGAGAAGGCTCAGCTGCTGAGAGTGTGACTGTTCTATCAGAGGACCCGAGTTTTGTCTCAACTCTGCAAATCGGGCAGCTCCCAACTCTCTTTAACTCCAGCTTCTGGATCTGACACCCGCTTTGGGATTTTGCAGGTGCTACACTCATGTGTGCCAACCCATACAGAGACATACACACAGACTGAAAATAAAATCTCTTTTTAAATTTTACTTTAGTAGTTTATAAATATAAGTGTCTTGTCTGCATGTGTGTTTGCCACCAAATCAATGCCTGGTGACAGCAGAGCTGAGAAGAGGACTTCAGACCCCCTGGAAGTAGAGTTACTCACAGTTACCAGCTTCCATATGATGGCTGGGAAGTGAACCCAGGTCCTCTGCAAGAACAGTTATCACCCCCAAACTGACAAATGGTTGGTAAATTGAACATTTACAAGGGACTAGGATGGCTGTGAGTTAGCCCAATGACGGGATTATTGTAGGTCCACTTCCCAGGGGCCCACCCAATGCAGCTGAAAAGGAGTGCGTGGTGCTGGGAGTGGGTGCAGCCTACATGGCCTAAGACAGGGCTCTCACTCTCCTTTCACCCACCTCAGGGTCCCTTGACGTTGCCCATCGTCGACAGCCTAAAGCCTTCGACCATCGATGTGACTCGTCTCACATCAGTGTTTTGGGGTTGTGAACTTGTCTAAGACCCCCCATAATTAGACATCCAAATTCAAAATTCACATAGTTGGGATTGATCATAAGACGCCTTCTCTAACTAAACAGAGAAGGGGGAGATGCCAGAAGCCAGGACCCTCGCCCTTACCTTCACCCCCTACCTTTCCCCACCTGCACAATGAAGCTTGGCAACTGCAAGATCCTGCTTGGCAACTGCAGATAGACTCAAAGCAGTGTACCATATCTTCTTAAGAATAGCAGGGAGACCATAACTCAAGCAGTGTACCATATCTTCTGAAGAACAGCAGGTAGATCATAATTCAAGACAGTGTACCGTATAGACCATGACATGTTTCAAGGCAGAGGCCAAGAAGATTTTGTACTTTTCCACCACCTGGCCCCTCTTACCCCCTCCCCTTGTAAAACATGCTATAAAAAAGCATTTCATGTTCAAAAATAAATAAATAAATAAATAAATTATTTAAAAAAAAAAGAACAGTTATCACAACTATTGCTCTTAACCACTGAGCCAGCTCTTCAGCCTGAAAATAGAGTCTTTAAAACAAAAGAAGTCAGAAGGAATGATCAGAAGCTTGAAATATATTAAGTATAATTCAACAAAAAGTGACAGTAATGACAATATCTTTTATATAAGTGCATAACTTCAAAAAAGGGTCAAACAGCCTCATAGCAATGAAATGAATTCTCTCAGAAATATGTCTCTATTTCAAAACCAATCTTTGGATTTGGAATATTCAAAAATTATTTTTCTAAACTTTTAGGGATGTACAAATTGGTCATTTTAGAAGGAGGGATTTAACATTGAATCCTGTGTTTTCTTCCCTTTTCAGACAGATGTAATTGTTAATTCCGGATACATGAAGGATTTTAAAACAGGATGCGTGGCACAGTCGATTCTTAAACAAGCTGGGCTTGAAATGGAAAGGGAACTTGACAAGTTTTACCTGTCCCCAGATTATCAAGTGGTACGGGTCACAAAAGGATTTAAATTGTCCTGTCGGTATGTGTTCCATGTGGCATGGTGTTCCAACATCCATAAACACTGGGTAAGTTCAAAATAATCCTAAATGTGTATACTTAAACAATCTAAACATTTTGATAAATTTCCATTGCTTGATTATGTTTATCAAAAATTGTTAGATGGTGTCTTAGGGTCTCCATTGCTGTGAAGAGACAACTCCTATAAAGGACAACATTTAATTAGAGCTGGCTTGAAGGTTCAGAGCTTCAGTCCATTATCATCAAGGCAGGAACATGGCAGCATCCAGGCAGACATCAAGCTGGAGGAGCAGAAAGTTCTATATTTTGATGCAAAGACAGGTAGAAGAGCGGCTTGCAAGCCGCTAAGAGGAGGATCTCATTGCCCATCTCCACAGTGACACACTTCCTGCAACAAAGCCACACCCACTCTAACAAGGCCACACCTCCTAATAGTGTCACTCCCTGGACCAAACATATTCAAACCACTACAGATGTGTTTCCTTTTTTGAAACATGCCTATGACTGGCTGAAAGGCTGAGCGAGTATCGTTACCCCAAGTTCTCTAAGGTTTGATTTGAAAGGTCTTAAGTGAGCACACTGCACGTGGGCACGGAAACCCAGAACCCTTTAGTCTGTACACAGTTTGCTCTATAATACACAATGATCTGCTCTGTCCTTCCACAGTGGGGCAGGGGATTCAGCTTCTCCATATTTCCTTTCACAGGAGTTGGACTCAAAGCTACTACAGTTTCTTCCGACTCCCATAAAACAAGAAAATTAGTGAATAGAGGTAGTCCATGCAGATGTAGAGAAATGCTTAATCCCAATGTGCCTTCTCTCTCTCCATATATATGGAGAGCCCCAAAAGACCACCAAGGAGCCGTCTCTGATAGCATTAGGGTCTCTTTTTTACAAGCTTGGGCCTGGCTCTCCTCTAACTCAACTCTGACACAGCAGGACCGGAAGGTGGAGCAGCCTCAAACCGTCAGCAGGACAGATTCTTATAGGAAAATTGAAGCAAGTGATGGGGTGAGGGAGGGAGTGTCCAGTCTGTCAAACATAGAATAGAATGTCTACAAGCCAACAGATGGGTGCTCTGAAGCAAGATGGTATATAATCACAAACGGTCTGAACGTACATCTGAAACAATCAGACTAATCTTTGATTAACTGTTGCTAGGAAGTAGCTAGGGAGTAACTGGCCAAGGACAAGCCGTGGCTCCTTCCTGGTACTTGGGTGCAGCTGGGGTTCAGCTGCAGGTCAGGTTCTCAGGCTTTCTTTCTTGAAGGTGGAGGCTGATCCCAAAATAGAGTAGGTTTGGCCTCTCAATAGTGTTTCTCTCTACATAGTTCTGGCTATCTGGAACTCACTATGTAGACCAGGCTGGCCTTGAACTCACAGATTGACCTGTTTCTGCTTCCTGAGTGTTGGGGTTAAAGGTATATGCCACCACTCTTGGTTATTTTTTGTGTTTTGGAGATGAGGTCTCAATGTATAACCCAGGCTAGCCTGAAACTCTGTAGTCCAGGCTAACCTAAAACTCATGACAGTCTTCTTGCATGGGCTTCCTGAGTGCCAGGATTGTAAACCATTACACTTGTATCTTTTTTGGATTGTGTATCTTCTTCTTCTTTTTTTAACCTGTGCCATGTCTTGTCCTCTTAGTTCTGTAATCTAGATTGGATCTCCACTTATTCTTTATGCTTCATCTTTCCAAGGTTCTTCCACAGACAATCTTCCTGCCTATATAGCAATCCAGTGTAATATTGAAAAGTTTATGGAAAATTAGCCTGGGATGTGGCCTGCTTTTTAAAAATTCCCATTGTATATGTCAGCTGGCTGTGCCCACATTGAGTGGCAGCTGTGGTATGTGTTTTGGGGGTCAGCTGTGGTTCCGTGTCCTCTGCTTCCTCCCTCTCAGAGCCTTCAGACTATGCACACCAGGCTGGAAGGATGAGCTGGAGTTCAATATGGGTGGGGTTATGCAGGATTCTGGTCCAGCTGGGAATGAGTGGGTAGGGTGCGGGGAGGGCCCTCTGAAGGTCTTAGTGTTACATAACTCTTTTAGGCAAAGGCCTTCTCTGTCAATCTTAATGAAACAGCTCTCTTAAGACAGTCTTGACTTGTGTACTTATGTTTATTTAGGGTGGGCTTGTACACATACACTTAACTCAGTGAACCAGGGCTGTATAGGAACTTTGGAGGCTGGGAAAGGAGTTTATAGGGACATGAAAATAATTGGAGTTTAAAATTGTATGAATGCTCTCTTTGCATGGAGAGGCATTCCAGGAATCCCAGGTGGCTGGCTGGGTTCTTATCTGGAAAAGAGGAAGTTGAACTTGTAGATTCATCAAGGACTACTGCGCCTCCCTCAGGTAGAGAATGTGGAATTCGGGCTCCTAGACAAGGTCAGGAAAGAGGAAGCCCTGCTGGTAAAGGGAATCCCCCATTTTGTCCCTAGTTCAGAAGAGCTGTCCCCCCAACTTCAACCTTAATTAGCAGGGTAATCCCATATAATCCCAGCACTTGGGAGGCAGAGGTAGGCAGATCTCTACAACTTTGAGGCCACCTACTCTAATAGTGAGTTTTAGACTCGCCAGAGCTATGTAGTGAGACCTGATCTTAAAAGATGAAAAAAGAGAAGTTGGCCGGGCAGTGGTGGTGCACGCCTTTAATCCCAGCACTTGGGAGGCAGAGGCAGGTGGATTTCTGAGTTTGAGGCCAGCCTGGTCTACAGAGTGAGTTCCAGGACAGCCAGGGCTATACCGAGAAACTATGTCTCGAAAAACCACAAAAAAAAAAAAAAAAGTTGATGGAAATCTGAGTCAGCCCAAACTATTGGCACTTCTCCAGGAGAAGCTACACAGTGGATCGTAATAATATTAAAGGGATATTGCTTTCTTCTCATCTCTTTCATTAAACTATCAGGAACTCTTTGTTAACCTGGAAGTGGCGGGTGAGTGGCACACTGATGCTTGACTGACTCCCTGAGCTAGGGAGTTGATCAAGGCTATATAACTGGGAGAGATCACAGTGCTCAAATGCCATGAGTAGCATTCAGTTGCCTCAGTTTCTCAGCCTTATGTTTCCCACTATGTAGTTTATAGCTATAGTAAGTTTTTGTGGAGTGAGGTCTTAGCAGCCCTCTAAGGATGCATGGGCACACCCATGTTCTGTGCAGGGTGGCACTGTATAGCTAAGACTAGTCTGAACCTCTGTAGTCCAGGCTATCCTAAAACTAAATAAGCAGGTTGGCATGGTGAATTCTGAGCACAGCTGAAGGGTAAGTGAAGTCTTATTTTTGTTTCAAAGGTTGTATTTATCTCAAACTTGTATTTATCTTACAGACATTGAAAGATGCAATGAAGTCCTGTCTGGAAAAATGCCTTAAACCAGATATAAATTCCATTTCCTTTCCTGCTCTCGGGACAGGAATGATTGATTTGGAGAAGAATACAGCAGCGCAGATAATGTTTGAGGAAGTTTTTGCATTTGCTAAAGAGCACAAGGAAAAAACGCTAACTGTAAAGATTGTGATCTTTCCAGTAGATGTGGAAACATACAAGGTGAGTTAGTGCCTTGGCAAAGTCTTACAGTTTGTTCATTCATTACCAATGGCTAGTTAGTATCTCTTGTCTAACACACTATAGGTAAGGATCCCACAATGTGGTGGGATTCTAACATTTAATTTCTGCAAATTACCCACCCTTGGCCTAATAGCAAAGGTCATTAGCTAAGCCATGTTTATGTTTGCTTTTCTCATTTTCTTGTTGGCATTTAGTCTCTCTGTTCTCTGTTCTAAAGGTAAGCAACCTATTTTTGATATGGGATGATTCTTTCTCTGATACCTGCTGCCTGCTGCTGCTGCTCCTCCTCTTCTTCCTCCTCCTCCTTCTAAGATATTTCTTGGTGGTTTTTGTCCTGGATAGAGGTAGGTCTCTATAAAAGACAATAAAGGGTCATTTAGCAAACATTTCTTCCTTATTAACTTAAGACAGGCGGTTTTGTCTCAGAGAAAGGAACCAGAACCCATTGTTGGCATGTCTCTTGAGGATTAGGTGTTAGTCGCTGGTGAACAGAACTGGAAAGACACTGCCACATCCTGTCCTTGGCTCCACTGAAGACCTCTAGGCTCTGTGCTGGCCATCTGCCTGTTGTCTCCTTTCTTAAACGTTATTGCTAGAGGCTAAGTTACAGTTTCCGTCACATTTCATTCAAAAGCTTTGCCGAAGTATTTCTAACCCTGCAACATCTCCTGCCTTCTGAAATGACATAAGCAGAGAACTGACTTTTATCCATTGTATATGGCTTCTCTTACCATTTGCTTATCAGTGGATAAAGTTGGCTCATTACCAAATTCTTGGATGGGGATGACAGGGAACAACTTATCATAATTCCTCCAGGTAACTAAATATAGTCAGACCAAGGGATTTTATTTCCTCTGGAAATAGAAGCTACAAACACACTTTATAAAGGAAATATTCTATAGACTAAGAAACTTCGTTGTTGAGTTGGGTGTGTTGGTGTGCACCTTTAATTACACTGCTTGGGAAGCAGAGGCAAGGTGGGTCTGAGAAGGGTGGACACACCTTTAACACTAGTACTCTGGAGGCAGGGGCAGGTGGATCTCTGAGGATGAGGCCAGCCTAGATAACAGAGCAAGTCCTAGGACTGCTAGGGCTCCACAGAGAAACCCTGTCTCCAAAACATAACACACACACACACACACACACACACACACACACACACACACACACACACACACAAAAGAATATCTCTGAGTTTGAGGCCACTGTAATCTGCATACTCCAGGCCATATAGGGCTAGATAGTGAGATAGTAAAAACCTGTCTAAACATTCATATTCATATTCTCTCTCTCCCTCTCCCTCTCCCTCTCCCTCTCCCTCTCCCT